ATAATATGGATGAAGCATCATTCAAATAACGTGGTGCTGAGATAACGTTACTCTTTTTATGTGCTACATACAAACTTTAATGTCAAACTCCATTGACAACGACGCGTATTTTCAAAATAGAAGGAATTCAAGCTTCCCATAATATGGATCTTATGTCAAAACTTAGAACCAACTTTTTGCCAAATATTCAAGAACTTATCCGAAATTCAAAGTTGTATTCCCAAGTATGATGGTTTCAAGAAACCAAAAGCCGTAAAATTTATTTCACATTTTTTCACCTCTCAGGTCAGACCATTCGAATTTTTGTACCACTGGTACAGTTCGAGCCTAGATATTTTTTTTCATTTTGGGATAAGAACTTCAGCTTCCTGTATATCGATAAGAGGGCGTTTTTGGATATGAGTATATTCCTGTTATTTTTGCTGTTATGTTTGATCTAGGAATGTTGGTTTAGGTCACCGTTAATAAAAGTGGGTGTCAATGACAGTACGAGTATCCCGCCTGACATATTTTTTCTTTGCCGCAGGCACTCAGGTATTCTGGTAGCATTCATAGGCCAACAGAAATTTCATCATATATCGGCAGAGCATCTGCTTCATGCCAAAGCTGCCTTTCTGGCACACATTCTCTTATATTTAAAAGACAATCGATGTTGATTTCAACATTCGATTAATATTGTATGCATTGATTATGCTCATTCATAAGTTGTGAGAAGTGTGATTAACCATTCGTAGACAAATTCTCACATAACTAATTACCTTGCGTGCACAGACTGTGCTTTCACGTTTCCTCAAAGGAAACGATAATAATTATTTATTGATTATTTGGGTAAGATAAATTATTGGGATTAATATCCAATCATATGCTCTGTTTAAGCAGTAGATGAACTAGTGTAAACAACGGTAATAAGAAAGTATGTATTTTGAGTAATCAGGTCACCCTCCCAGCAAGTGCTTAAAAACTTAAGAGGTAGGATCAAGCAACGTTTCTAAAAAAAGTTTTTTTGGCTATCTTGTTGGTGGAAGTAAGGGTAAAAAGATAATAATATTTGGAGGGAGGAATATTTTTTCTTAAGTAAAATTTACATTCATAGATTATATAGCCTAATAAGTTTCTTTCTCAGATATGAACAATTTCAGCATATACAAAGGTGACGTGCTTAATGGGGACGGATGATAATATAGGCCTTAATAATAAATAATAGGCCTTTATTTTGCCTGGCAAATATCAGCTATATATATATATGTAGTAACTGAAAAGAGAAGAAGAAGAACAAATCTAAACCTCTATTGCCAAAATCCATCAAGCCGTCTGGGCTGTAACCCGCGAAATATAAATGTCAAAGTTGAAGTTTTCATAAAGTATCCGCCGTTTTGGTTATTTAAATTTTTTAATATATCCATTATCACTGGCACAGCTAAGACGAATTCAAGTTTCCATTTGAAATCCGCATTAAGGTTATAGACATTTACCCAGCGTCACTCTTATAGACAAAGCAAATCTAGAAACACCACAAATATCAAATTTCCACAAGCTGTAACCCGAGAAATATAAATTTAGAAATTGAAATTTTTGATTGCATGCTGCCATTTTGTCTCAATATCTCAAAGTCCATCACTGTCATTTAATCTGTAGCCCGTGGAACAGAATTTTGAACGTGCACATTTACAATTAGTAAATGCCATTTCGATTAATAACATTTTCATACAAACATTGTCACTCGTATGGCTAAAGCCGCGCCCAGACTCATATTCCAATGCAAGCCAAGGCACATGTGGTTACAGATTCGGAGGTGTTCGAAACATAATCCAATGGTTTCCAAGGTCGGCGTTGGCGTTCGATGGCTTTCGCTCCTTGATCGGTACATCAAAAGGAGGTTTGCTTTGGAATGGAGAGGATTTGTTGCGTTTCTAGAATTCAGTCTCGTGTCCAACTTGAAACTAAATTTAGGTGTAGACGACGTGTAGACGAGCGCGTTCCAATTCCCTCCAAGCACAGCATTTGTTTGCTCGTCGTTGGATTTTCGGTCTGTACGCGGCTTAAAACGAATCCAACAATACCTCATAAATATCTCAAAATCCATCAAGCCCTTTGCTCGTGAAACAGATTTTTTTGTCCACGTAAACACATGCTCACGTGCGAATAGCATAGCCCCTCCTTCTAATGTAGTCGTGTAGGAATTAGGATTCATAAAATGTTGAATAAAGAAGTTCAAACATACGAGTACAAAGAAACACATTATTATATTAGTAACTTTATACGCGTCCTACTTTTATAATTGCATACTAACTTAGACGTTTACTGGTAACACGCTGACTACTTACAATGAACATTAGCTATGTAAAGGTTCCTAGAGGGTACGATCTCATAACCGTTCCGAATCACCAATAGCCAGTGGCAGTGCCGGTTTAAATTACTCACGAGAACCAACTTGACTATTGTCACAGACAAAGTAAGCGTTAAACCAGCTCTCAAATGTACCTGCAGTGTCTATACTTTTGTTGATCTCTGTTTCCTCACTCTGTCGTGTGGGTTACGTGCTGAGTGAAGGAAGCCTTATCCTAATTAAAAAGCAGTAGGTGATTAAACTTTATGCAGCGATTAACGCTGATCTCGCTCTAATTACCTGATGTTATTCGTACTACTACCTTGATTTAAATTTTATATTCGACAGCCAACCATGAAAGGTGCGTGATGGTGTCAATGAACTACGTATCAAAACATTATGTTCCACAAGTTCTTTATGTCACATGTTTTTGTGCATCTATCCCTAGAGGACGTTTGTGGCTGTAGAAGTTGTCCCCCCATGTATTGCGATATGTGAGACATGTTCCCGTAACTAGATGACAAGTATTAGGCATCCTCAATCAGTCCAGAGGTAGTAGTAGTGATGGGGAGGACAAGCCTGACAACTAGGCCACCTTTGACCCTTCTTGCCAATCCAGCAGTTCCAACACTGCACTACTCCACAAGCCCACTGCTGGTAACTGATTATTGAATAAACCACCTCTAGCAATGAGATGGACAGTGAATACAATTATTTATTATCTCATCTCATTTTCTTAAATCCAGCAAATTTGCGTATGAAATTTCCAGAATGAATAAGAAAAAGTGAATGCGCAACTCATTTCTAGCATTGAATCTCAAGTATGTGTACTTGAGACAGGAATCCAATGGAATTATCATCAACACATATAATAAGCACCGAAATCCTCACTACTCTCCTACTCATTGCCGTTACCATCAGTAATGGCATCCTGAAGCATTGATAACTGGAGCCTCTTGACGTTTAGGCAACACGTACAACTACAAAACTAGTTCACAACGAGTCCATCAGCTAGTGCTAAGTTAACATCTCGTAGAAAAAACTACATAATTTTACAACAAACAAGTATAATGTCAAAAAAATGGGCATGATATCACTTTTCAAGATACGTAATACTCGTGCGGTTATCATGATGTGCTTTCAAAACCCCGTTTATCAAGAGAGTGTCGTCCGGAAGTTACTGAGGGACATTCAATTTACACTTGCGAACTACAGGGGACTGTTTCTATGCAGATATCATATTGTATGAATATTTTTGGAAGAAATATAGCCACTAAAACTGTTTTTATTGTTGTAGGAAGATACAACAAAGTAAGCAAATTACACAATACAACCGTTCAATCACGGTATTTCTAAATAAGCCTGTGTAAGTTCATTGCTACTTTATTTTATCCGTAATGATAGATCTATGTCCATTACAGGTAGAAAATAACTGAATTCAATCCAAAGAAGTTATGTTGCTTCACTGATTAATATGATTAATCATGGAATAGCTGTATACTAGGATTAGATTTGTAAAATTCCAGAAAGGCTCACCTACCTGATGAGATTTTTAGATCGCAGATATGATTGTATATTGACCACACAAATTATACCCTAAGCATGTTAAACATTAAACAGTAGATCTTTTGGGCACCTTCATATTGTCCTCAATGTCCAGAGTGTCTTCAATTCTGGAAGTGACTAGCCAAAGGGGAGACAGATGGTTTTGGTTTAAGTCTGTAATAACCTTAAGGTCTTTCACAAGCGCCCGACCTTCGTTCCACCTAAGGTTGCATATTGAAATTTTCTAACCGGTTTATCACATATTCTATGACTAGTACCTCATCCAGTATATTATGTGGTATCCATCAGTCAGAAAAAAACGTCAATTTAACATAACCATAACGGCGGGTCCATAGCCAAAGACCTGGACAGCGTCGTGTAGATTATATTTCTTTATATGTATATTGCATGGAATCCAATTTCCACGGATTCCGATTTTTTGATAAAGGTACCTCTGTTTTAAGTTATCCTGCAGTCATCAACGGCTCTAGGAACTAATTATACTCAACTGATATAACAATACAATTTTTGAATATATCCGTTTCTTTATCAATTATGTGTAAGAGCTTTTGAATGGCTACCTTATGTCATCTATGAAGAGCTTCTGAATTATTATTGACGCTTACTTCTGCTTCAACGGGTAAAAAAGGTGTTTATATTTATTTGACTATTGACAACTTTTATTTCCTACGCCACTGGCGGGGAAGCATTGTAATTGCAAAAAAAAATCGGAAGTGAGATATTATGCTTTATGATGTTATATGACCCGCACATCACCCATCCTTGTTGGTCTGTCTGTTGGTTTGTCTGTTCGCTAATCGTTCGCCCGTCCATAACTTGGGAAGTACGGCTCAGATTCAGATGAAATTTTCACACTGTAACGCTATTTCCTCGGGGTCAATAACTGGCGAACTATCTGCTTATCTAGTCCAGCAACTCGTCGGGCGCCAGGCTCCTGTTTAGGGTGTGGAGACACACACTATAGACTGAAACAGTCACCTGGGTATCACGCTCAAAGGGCCAGACTCGCGATACTTACTCTTTACTTTCTACTTCTACTACTTCTCTTTTTGTATCTCTTACTTCAGGCAGGACGGTGTTTGTGATTAAAAGCAAGACTTATAACACAACCTGGTATATTAACGGCAAATATATACACTTCATGCACGGTCGGGATATCGATATCTCAAATTATATGTACAAACGAGAGAGACCCCTATCTGACTTTAGCTACCCTAGCGATAGAGCGGAGAAGGAGGACAATCGGTTAACTCGGGATCGAACGGAATCAAAAGCGGTTAAAAAGCAACGGTTAAAGCGGAAGCAGTATGCGGTCAAGCTAGCAAGCGGTAATGGTGCGATGCGATAAGCCCAAAGCGATGAACGGTTTTCAGCAATATGGATATTATAAGAATTTTACAACTCCGTATTTTATCCCTATCTTCTTACTTTCTTAATTTTCTATAGTTTATTCGATTTGGTCTGCATGGGAGATTGTGTAGCAACCGCTATTATGTTTAATTTATGGTTTCAAATCTTTGTAGCTGCAGTAGCACTTTTCACACCTCATTTCTGAAGCTCTGGATGGAAGGTGCGTTAAAAAGCTGGTACATCAGACGTGGTGCTGTGTAAGTAGGGCATTTTTGAACTTTGGCAGAGTGAGCAGCTCTTCTATGAAGAATTAAACTGATAACTAAGTAAATTATATTTTAATAATTTATACAGTAGAGTTCCATACCGAAGTAATACATAATACCTGGCTTTTAAAACGTTTTCTCTTAAATAATAGCCTGTAACGTATTCTTGCTTATGTATATATTTGAAACAAGATATCGTGCTGAAGTTTTGCAATACTTTCAGATTGTGCTTCATTTCTTCCCTAAGTAAATTATGTTATACTGTAGCGGCATAGTCAAGACGAGTGAGGATTGGTGCGTTGCTAAGCCTTAAATTATATCACTGGCTGAAAAATATTTGTATCTCAAAGTGACTTATATTTACAAAAGATATGATATGGTTCTCAAAACTAAGATTTGGTCAAATAGAATTTCTAAATTCTTAACTTTCTTCACAATTGCAACAGCTGTATCACCTAAAACAATGTATGTACTCATCAATTCTTCAAATTTTTACATATTTAATCTAGAACGAATTCAGCAAGCTTTAGTTTTTGAAGGATTCAGCTTCAAACAATAAATTTTGGAATAGCTTACATTTTACATTTCTAGATTAATATTTAATTCGAAAATCAATTAATTAACTTCATTTAGCTAGCTTTTCCCAGGGTGTCTTATAAATGTCCGCAAGTTTCCACACCTAAGCTATGCGGTCGGTTATCTACCAAAACAAAGAAATTAATGATGATGGATCCCTCGAGCACTAAAAACTCCGGACGTAAACTCACTCCACTCTCGGAATGTCCGGGTGGAGGGTGGGCTCGAGGGAACAACATCGAAGATAAAATTTGTTTTTCGAACATCTGCGGGATCAACAGCAACATTGATGCTGTTCATCACCAGCTGCAATCCAATCGTCCCGCCGTGCTTTTCTTGGCGGAGACAAAATCTCAGAGACTGCACCGATTAACCATCTCAACTTCCCAAACTACGAGGTGCACTCCAATCTGAGAAAGAACGGGGGAGTTGTGGCTTTTGTCCGCAGCAGTCTTTCCTGCTCCAGGGATCTTTCTTTGGAATCAGACCAGAAGGACATTCTGTGGCTTGGCCTCAACTCCAAAACATCACCCAAATTTATTTGCTGCCTTTATCGCTCTCCCTCGAACCATAACTGGGATGACCTACTCGAATACCTCGCCGTCCAGATCGACTTCCTGAACATCAATCACCCCGCTTCAGAGGTAGTTCTTCTCGGTGATTTCAATGCCCATATTGAGCTTTGGTTGGGCTCAAATAAGACCGATGCAGCAGGTCGTGCAGTCGAAGCGTTCGCTCTTACTCAAGGGCTGACCCAGCTGGTCACGAGCCCTACTTTTTTCCCCCGCGTCTCGTCACACGCCAGTAGCCTGCTAGATCTCTTTCTGACCACGCATCCTGCCCCTTACAGCACTGCTGTCCTGTCCCCCCTGGGTAATTCAGATCACGGTGTTGTGGAGGTTAGGTTTCGGTCAGAAGCCGCTGTGGCAGCAGAAACTCGCACAGGCCGCAAAACTTGGCATTACGGACATGCCGACTGGGAGGGGCTCAGAGACTTCTTCTCTAGCTTTCCTTGGAGAGATGTCTGTTTCACTGACGCGGATGCGTCGACTGTCTGTTCTTCAATAACCGAAATTATCCACGTCGGAATGGAGGAATACATCCCTCACACAGTGAAAATTCCTAAACCAGGGTCCAACGGCTGGTTCAACAAATCGTGTGACACTGCTCGCCAGCAGAAGATCAAGGCCCACAGAACCTACTTACAAAACCCCACTGTAGAGAACAGATAAGCCGACGTCGAGTCCAGAAACAAATATAACGAAGCGGTTCGCAATGCCAAAACCCAGCATGATATAAAAGTTAGGCACAGGGTAATGTCGCAGCGCAATGGCAGTCGGTCTTTCTGGACGCTGGCCAAGCAGATTGAAAAGAACTTCTCACACAGTAGCCTTCCACCACTTACGTGTCAGGATGGAACTATTGTATTCGACTCAAAGGCCAAGGCGGAAGTGCTAGCAAAGATCTTTGCTGCCAACTCCACCATGGACGTCCCCACCAACGCCCAAGTGCCGTCAATTCAAAGGGTTCCCCACACTATGCGGGAGGTAACATTCAGGCATAAGACCGTAAGACGAGTGCTCTTGTCGCTCGACATCAAGAAAGCTTCTGGTCCGGACTTGATTCCTGCCATTGTACTGAAGAGATGTGCAGCTGAGCTTGCTCCAGTTCTTTCGCGTCTCTTCCAGATATCTTATGAATCCGGCACCTTCCCAGAAAACTGGAAATTTGCTCATGTACAGCCCATCCCAAAAAAAGGATCTAAAACCGACCCTTACAACTACAGGCCTATAGCTCTGCTTTCTGTTATAAGTAAAGTGATGGAGAGGTGCATAAATCGCGAGCTTCTGGACTACCTCGAACGTCACAGCTTGATTAGCGACAGGCAGTACGGTTTCCGGCACCAACGATCCACAGGGGACCTCCTAGCTTACGTCACGCAACTGTGGAGTAAACTCATCCAGTCTCATGGTGAGGCTCATGTCGTTGCTCTTGACATCACGAAAGCGTTCGATCAGCTGTGGCACGCTTTTTTTTTTTTATATCGAAACAGCCGCGCAGGCAGAAGCCTAAATGCCGGAACACCGCGGCTGCTATGATGATCCCAAAGAAATTTTGTTAATACGATTTTTGAACTGCCTAAGGTTAGTAGAACTGGGAAAAGCTTCCTCCCGTAGTTTGTTCCACAATCTAGACACCCTCGGGACAAAGGAGCGGTCGTATCGGCCAGTTCTGGATGTACGAAGTTTGACACGGTTAGGATGGGACGCCGAAGTCAAGCGGGTCGGTCTGGCAGGCACATCGCGCGGCGGCATCATGGAAGAGAGCTCTGAGGAGCAAAGCCCGTTGGTGTAGCGATAGAAAAGAGCTAGATCGCCGACGGCCCGCCGGTGCGAAAGAGTCCCGAGACTGTCTGTTAGAGAAGAGTCATCGATCAGTCGGACCGCCCTCCTCTGGACAGCATCGAGCATGGACAATGTAGTCGGGGCGGCAGCGCCCCAAATGTGTGAGCAATACTCGAGGCTAGGCCTTATCTGGGCCTTGTATAGAGTGAGAAGGTCATGCGGAGAAAAGTACTTCTTAGCCCTAAACAAATAGCCTAGCTTTTTCCCAGCAGCTGCAGCTATTGAAGAGATGTGTTCGTGCCAGATCAGGTCCTCGGTGATCTGGACTCCGACCAGCCGAAACGAATGGCTCTTTGGTAGAACTCGACCGTCCATCGAAACTGTATGAGCGCTAGGACGCTTTTTGTTCGTCAAAGTACAGTACTGTGTTTTGGAAGCATTGAACTGTACAAGATTGTTGCGTCCCCAAGCAGTGATAGCCTCCAGGTCTCTTGTCAGAGAAGAAGTCGTGGCTAGTCTTCTTTTTTCCAGCTCAGCAGCAGAGATCGGCTTGTCACTCTGAATTCCTGCATGTAGAGTGCTGTCATCAGCGAAGCTGTGGTTTGGGTTGATCGTGCAGGAAAGGAGGTCGTTGATATGTAAGAGAAACAGTGTTGGAGCCAAAACCGATCCCTGGGGAACACCCGCGTTGACGTTGTGGGATGAAGAGGAGAATCCGTCAATTACGACGGATATCTTGCGGCCAGAGATAAAGTCAGCCACCCATCTGCAAAGCTTTTCTGGGAGGCCGTAGGATGGAAGTTTGCTCAAGAGGGCAGCGTGCCACAGCTGATCGAACGCTTTCGTGATGTCAAGAGCAACGACATGAGCCTCACCATGAGACTGGATGAGTTTACTCCACAGTTGCGTGACGTAAGCTAGGAGGTCCCCTGTGGATCGTTGGTGCCGGAAACCGTACTGCCTGTCGCTAATCAAGCTGTGACGTTCGAGGTAGTCCAGAAGCTCGCGATTTATGCACCTCTCCATCACTTTACTTATAACAGAAAGCAGAGCTATAGGCCTGTAGTTGTAAGGGTCGGTTTTAGATCCTTTTTTTGGGATGGGCTGTACATGCGCAAATTTCCAGTTTTCTGGGAAGGTGCCGGATTCATAAGATATCTGGAAGAGATGCGAAAGAACTGGAGCAAGCTCAGCTGCACATCTCTTCAGTACAATGGCAGGAATCAAGTCCGGACCAGAAGCTTTGTTGATGTCGAGCGACAAGAGCACTCGTCTTACGGTCTTATGCCTGAATGTTACCTCCCGCATAGTGTGGGGAACCCTTTGAATTGACGGCACTTGGGCGTTGGTGGGGACGTCCATGGTGGAGTTGGCAGCAAAGATCTTTGCTAGCACTTCCGCCTTGGCCTTTGAGTCGAATACAATAGTGCCATCCTGACACGTAAGTGGTGGAAGGCTACTGTGTGAGAAGTTCTTTTCAATCTGCTTGGCCAGCGTCCAGAAAGACCGACTGCCATTGCGCTGCGACATTACCCTGTGCCTAACTTTTATATCATGCTGGGTTTTGGCATTGCGAACCGCTTCGTTATATTTGTTTCTGGACTCGACGTCGGCTTGTCTGTTCTCTACAGTGGGGTTTTGTAAGTAGGTTCTGTGGGCCTTGATCTTCTGCTGGCGAGCAGTGTCACACGATTTGTTGAACCAGCCGTTGGACCCTGGTTTAGGAACTTTCACTGTGTGAGGGATATATTCCTCTATTCCGACGTGGATAATTTCGGTTATTCAAGAACAGACAGTCGACGCATCCGCGTCAGTGAAACAGACATCTCTCCAAGGAAAGCTAGAGAAGAAGTCTCTGAGCCCCTCCCAGTCGGCATGTCCGTAATGCCAAGTTTTGCGGCCTGTGCGAGTTTCTGCGGCCACAGCGGCTTCTGACCGAAACCTAACCTCCACAACACCGTGATCTGAGTTACCCAGGGGGGACAGGACGGCAGTGCTGTAAGGGGCAGGATGCGTTGTCAGAAAGAGATCCAGCAGGCTACTGGCGTGTGAGGAGACGCGGGGGAAAAAAGTAGGGCTCGTCACCAGCTGGGTCAGGCCTTGAGTAAGAGCGAACGCTTCGACTGCACGACCTGCTGCATCGGTCTTATTTGAGCCCAACCAAAGCTCATTATGGGCATTGAAATCACCGAGAAGAACTACCTCTGAAGCGGGGTGATTGATGTTCAGGAAGTCGATCTGGACGGCGAGGTATTCGAGTCGGTCATCCCAATTATGGTTCGAGGGAGAGCGATAAAGGCAGCAAATAAATTTGGGTGATGTTTTGGAGTTGAGGCGAAGCCACAGAATGTCCTTCCGGTCTGATTCCAAAGAAAGATCCCTGGAGCAGGAAAGACTGCTGCGGACAAAAGCCACAACTCCCCCGTTCTTTCTCAGATTGGAGTGCACCTCGTAGTTTGGGAAGTTGAGATGGTTAATCGGTGCAGCCTCTGAGATTTTTGTCTCCGCCAAGAAAAGCACGGCGGGACGATTGGATTGCAGGTAGTGATGAACAGCATCAATGTTGCTGTTGATCCCGCAGATGTTCGAAAAACAAATTTTATCTTCGATGTTGTTCCCTCGAGCCCACCCTCCACCCGGACATTCCGAGAGTGGAGTGAGTTTACGTCCGGAGTTTTTAGTGCTCGAGGGATCCATCATCATTAATTTCTTTGTTTTGGTAGATAACCGACTGCATAGCTTAGGTGTGGAAACATGCGGACATTTATAAGACACCCTTGGAAAAGCTAGCGGGTGGTACTGCCTCGGTCGACTGGTCCTTGTCTACCACCTTCTTTTTACGTATTAGTGATGTTAAATAGACCTAAAGTGGCCCGTTGGCGGACTTGTACCGCCACCCGGCAATCGGTACTGAGGTATTCCTTAACGCGTGCGCAATCACTTGGACGGGAAGAAGTTGTATACTGGATACAACGACTTCCGGAACAAGCATTTGCCACGGCCCTCGCTCAGTAGGGGGGGGAACGCTGCCCTCTTGAGCAAACTTCCATCCTACGGCCTCCCAGAAAAGCTTTGCAGATGGGTGGGGCTGACTTTATCTCTCGCCGCAAGATATCCGTCGTAATTGACGGATTCTCCTCTTCATCCCACAACGTCAACGCGGGTGTTCCCCAGGGATCGGTCTTGGCTCCGACACTGTTTCTCTTACATATCAACGACCTCCTTTCCTGCACGATCAACCCAATCCACAGCTTCGCTGATGACAGCACTCTACATGCAGGAATTCGGAGTGACAAGCCGATCTCTGCCGCTGAGCTGGAAAAAAGAAGACTAGCGACGACTTCTTCTCTGACAACAGACCTGGAGGCTATCACTGCTTGGTGACGCAACAATCTTGTACAGTTCAATGCTTCCAAAACACAGTACTGTACTTTGACGAACAAAAGGCGTCCTAGCGCTCATACAGTTTCGATGGACGGTCGAGTTCTACCAAAGAGCCATTCATTTCGGCTGGTCGGAGTCCAGATCACCGAGGACCTGATCTGGCACGAACACATCTCTTCAATAGCTGCAGCTACTGGGAAAAAGCTAGGCTATTTGTTTAGGGCTAAGAAGTACTTTTCTCCGCATGACCTTCTCACTCTATACAAGGCCCAGATAAGGCCTAGCCTCGAATATTGCTCACACGTTTGGGGTGCTGCCGCTCCGACTACATTGTCCATGCTCGATGCTGTCCAGAGGAGGGCGGTCCGACTGATCGATGACTCTTCTCTAACAGACAGTCTCGGGACTCTTTCGCACCGGCGGGCCGTAGGCGATCTAGCTCTTTTCTATCGCTACACCACCGGGCTTTGCTCCTCAGAGCTCTCTTCCGTGATGCCGCCGCGCGATGTGCCTGCCAGACAGACCCGCCTGACTTCGGCGTCCCATCCTAACCGTGTCAAACTTCGTACATCCAGAACTGGCCGATACGGCCGCTCCTTTGTCCCGAGGGTGTCTAGATTGTGGAACAAACTACGGGAGGAAGCTTTTCCCAGTTCTACTAACCTTAGGCAGTTCAAAAATCGTATTAACAAAATTTCTTTGGGATCATCATAGCAGCCGCGGTGTTGCGGCATTTAGGCTTCTGCCTGCGCGGCTGTTTCGATATAAAAAAAAAAACAAAAATTTGGCTTACGGAACACCAGAAATTACATGTGGATATTATGTCATATATCATTGTGCGCCCCAGTGCAGGGCCAAACCTGACCGCGAGGTAGTTAATAAACTACAGCAAGGCATTACCAGACAAACCATCATGTTACCTTTCACATAAGATTTCATGGTTAAGCATGTTAAATGTCTTGGTGTAATCTAACACCACCAATAGGGTAACCATACCACCATGCATGAATTTGACTATATCGCTATAGTATAGCTCAATCACAGTTCCTTATATAAACGGATCGATATGATATATGGTATATTATCTCCAACAATTATAATTATTATTACTCCTATTAGAGTTGCAAGAATGATTTTACAGTATTCCTTTCACAGCATTGTATGCTGTAAGAGCATTGGCAAAACGCTCTTAGAACAGCTGTAGAAGCGAAATGGGCACACCTAATAGGACACTTCAGTCATTTAAGAGGTTGTATAAGAGCTACAGATAACAGCTATACAATTAAAGTGTAAATCTCTTGCAGCCGCTGCCTTATGCTGTTGAAGACCAGTTCAGTTTCAAAGAGTTTCTTCCAGATTAAAAGAGGGTATTGCTGTTGTTAGGTCAGTTTCTTGAAATTCAACCATACCCCTTCAACTGACACTACCAAAAAGTCCCAGGCATCTGTCTTCAGGGGTAGCCGTGTTTTTGAGTTTACAGACACCTCAAAATCCTTTATCAAATGTACAACACCTGTTTTCACCTGTGCAATTCCAAAGCGCCGTCCTAGAAATGTATGTCAGTTACGCATTGTAGATGGGTGAGGGTACATAAAGAAGGTTCACAGTTTGGATAAAGTCAAAATGACTTGCATTGTCGCATTACTTTTACTCATCAAGTTAGAGTAAATATTTTCTTCCACTCACCTAGACATGCTCGGGGCCCATCACCAAATCCAAAAAAGGGCTGTTTTTTAGAACTATCCCTGTCTAAGAACCTCTCTGGTTTAAATGTGTATGGATCTTCATAGTACTTTGGATCGTAATGGATTCCATATAAGGGAATCATGACAGGTGTTCCTTTTTCAATAGTTAGTGGAGGATGGTTTCCATTTGGGAATGTGTAGGTAAAAGTTTTTGTACATATTCGTGGGAGGTAGTGCAGGATTGAGTGAAGTCGTAAGTTTTCTGAAAAGTAATGTTGAAAGGGCGTTAAAAAATCGTTAGCGTGATGAGCTTCCTCAATATAGCCTACATTTAATTTCCTCCTATATTTTAACCCAGATATGCCCAAAGTTGTCGTGACTCCAATTTGTTCATAGTTTAGCATTTAAGTGACATTAATAGGGAACAGAAACACAACTAAGGCTTCGGAAACTGCATTTTTATTCAAAAAAGTTGTTTTTGAAGGCGTTCTATATATAGGACATTGGGCACTTGCTATGCTACATTGACATTATTTTGGTTTATATTTATACATGAAAAAATACTTGACATGCAACCCTTTATCACATTTTTGACAGCGAGTTGTTGTTTTTTGATGACAAGTTGCACATCTTGTTTGCTTTTCTTGTGGTACTACCCAGTGGTCCAGGCGGTCATATCGCAACTCCAAATTTTGGAATTGAGATGCATGTCCTGTTTGATACACACACCCTTTCTTGTTTTGAACTAACATAATGTTTGCAATAGCTCTTCTGAAAGTTAAATGGTCCATTGTCCCGCCATATGTTTTATGCATTTGCCAAGCATTCTGCACTGCCATATCTATGCAGTGAGTTATGAGAGGGAAGTACCACTTTTTTCCTCTTATAGCGGTACGATAGAGGCTTATGTTTTGATCAGAACGATAAAACCCTCCCATGCTCCTATTATTTAAATGTACTACATGTGGCTGCTCTACCTGAATGAACTTTTTGTCCTTTTATGAATATCTTTTCACATAATGCAGAGGATTGACACCAACTGCATTGGAACAAAAAGTGACTATGTTATTATCGTTCCATTTGACAAAACCCATATTACAGTCTTCAATTTTCATATAATCATATTGGCCACGTTCTTGTTTTTTCATATTTTTGCTGTCACATAACGTGCTACCAGGAATAAGATTTTTCTCGTATAGTCCCAGTTCCAAATAATTGCTTTTCATTTAGTTTTTCTACCAGCACAACAGAAGAAAAAAAAATGTCAAAAAATAAATGAAACCTCGGTTTCGGCCACTTTGACCTAAGAACGTCCGCATACTCCAGCACAACAGCTGTTCCGACCCCAAGATCTTTGTAGGTCTTGCTAATGTTTGTAGACGCTCCTTGGTAAGGCTCAAACCAATTTATATATCCTTGTCTGGTAGTCCCAACCCAGAATTTGAAGCCATAGCGTATGGGCTTACCGTGGATATACTGTTTGCAGCCATGTCTTCCTGTGTAGGGTATCATGGCCTCGTCGACACTGTGGTCTTCTTCACAGTGTGCATGTTTCAGAAACTTCTGATTTAGGTGACTAAAAAGTGGTCTGACCTTAGCAAACTTATCTCATTGTGACAATCTTTAGAACGTTCCCAGAACATTCTGCGTCGTGGAAGAGGAACAATACCACTCAAAAGAAGCACCCCTACAAAACATTTCATTTCGCTAACACTTACTCGCTTCATTTGATTTTTTTGTGACGCAAACCGATTTGTTTCGTCTGTAATCTTTTCAAAAAGCTCGTCATCGAAAAACAAACTGAAGAGAGAGAAGGCAGAACATTCAGATTGGTCATGATCAAAAAGTTCCTCAAAACTACCACTAGTTATTGTTTGTAAATCTTCTTTCACATAGTTATAGTGTTTTTTCTTCTTTGACTGTTTACGTGTTACTTTGATTGCGTCTGCCAATTGACTTAGGGGTATATCGTCTTCTGAGTCCATATCACATCCATCATTTATTTTGTATCTAGAAGACACTTCCACTTCACTCTGCATTTGAGACGCTGGTAAATTATTTAAAAAGATTTTCTGAAGCATTGTTAGGTGGAAAAGGTGTGATAGTATCAGCCTCCACTTCGTCGTCTTCTATCATAGCTAGGGCTTCATTTAATGAAAACCCTCTGTAACAAAAAAAAACCCGTAGTACCAAAATATGCAGCGAAATAATGTTATTTCATAGATGCGTAGCCACTAAGGACAGGGTAGTATAAAAAAGTGGCAGTACCGCATTTGCCCAATGTATGTATGTATATAGGACGGTTATATTTATCCCTAATTTGTGAAAAAGATAGGCAATAATATTTATTGCCTCAAACATATTTACTTCCTGGCTCCTTTATATGTAAAAATTTCCTCCATTGTATGAAATTCAGTCCAATGTAAATAATCAAAATACAGCTTACCTTGCAAACCTGACGCCATACTCAGCCATCTTCTCGAAATACCGAAATTAGACCAGAACTAATCTAGCAATCTGTCAGAGAACTACGACACGCTGCTGCACCTTAAGCCGAACAACGTTATACTGACCAAAACGAACGAATAAATCGATTTTTACAGACTCCCTTCAACAAGGATCGACAAGTTTGAGATGTACTACATATAGGCCATTGGGCACATCTGGGTTAATACAATATTTTAGTAAGTTCTTCCACCGCGTAAACGAAAAAACTTTTCCATAATACACGCACCTTTGAAGCAGGCATCAAGGTATGGCATTTCTTGCAGACTTTCATAGCTCAATTGACCTCCGTCTTTCTCAAAGTAATCATTAATCTCTTTCCTTAAGTTCTCCTGGGTCTCGGGGTTTGCAGCTAGTTCGTAGAGGAAGTGACCCATAACCTGAAAGGGTAATTGATTTTATTCATCAGAAGATATGAAGTGATATCTTGAAATAAGCGCTGTCATCATCACCGTTATATTTTCTTCTTCCTCTAGTTTTCTTTTTATGTTTTTATTATTCTTTTATATATTAACGGTCAAGCATGTTTATTGTTTAATTAATAATGTCTTCGCGTTATCGCCGCACAAGTCACAAAAGGTTGTCAGTATGAAATACGTGAGGTATTTTTTGCCACTACTAACCCAAGAAGTCACCACTAATGACCGCGATGTCCTATTGAGAAGTAGCATTTCTCTCCATAGGTAAATAATGAAAATAAAAAAGTAACACAAAAGTGAAGAATGATACCATTTGAATTGTATCCAATGTCAGTTTGTCAGTTGAACTTGATTATTTCAAAATATTTTGGAACGATTGAGAAACAAATAATTTTAAGTATAGTTTCTCTTGTAGTTATTCTGGAATACCCCAGCAACATATATTATGTGTCAACGGAAAGGAAACACTTGTACCTTACTCTCATTGAATGGACTACTCCAAACCAATAAATTCAGACTAAGTAGAAGAAGTAAGCCTACCATTTGTCTCCAAAATGTCAGTCTGGGTCAGGGTGACAGTGGACTTGACACAAGTTGATTTTTTGACAGTTCTGCCATTAAATTTGTATTTCCAGTGTAATTTAAAGAGTGGCACGGGTAGTACGTATCTTGAAAACTGTCATTGTGTCGATTTTTTTTGACATTATATTAGTTTTTTGTGATATTATGTAGGTCTTTCTACAATTTGTTAACCTAGCACTAGCTGATGGACATGTCGTGAACTCGTTTTGTAGTTGTACGTGTTGCCTAAACGTCATGAGGATTCAGTTATGAATGTTTGGCTCTGATGTGATGTAAAATCTGCTTCAGAGATGGCATTACCCGACGTAACGGCAATGCGTAGGTACATACATAGTGAGGATTTGTGTGCTAATAATATGTGTTGATGATAACATTCTGCTGGATTCTTGTCTCAAATGCACTTACTTAAGATTCAAGGCTAGAAATTGCACATCCACTTTTTCTTATCCATTTTGGAAATTACATATGCGTTTGCTGAATTTCAATATTCACTGTACACTGTCGAATTACAAGTCATATACATGCTAACTGTAATGACACACAATACGGGCGAGGTGGTGCTTTCCCGTAATTGTCCTCAAAGTTTTTAAAAACACAAAAAAGGTAAAGCATTGTAATTTATAACTTTAAACGTAACCTGTCTTCAAAAAGGATAACATATAAATAACCCGTCGGGAACAGCTAGTTAGCAGCATATTCAGTAATGATTTTCTCACACAGGAAATATCACTGATTTTAATAATAATAATAATAATAATAATAATAATAATAATAATACGCCGCAGGGAGTATCTACTTTTGAAGCTGGACCTTTGATCCAGTTTCAAGCGAAGATACATGGGGAGCGTCGCCCCCACGGCCCCAGGCCGGGAGTTCGGGGTTTGGTAGTCTTATTTATTCTGCCAAACCCTGGGCTTTACCTTTCCTCTTTCTCTCTATCCCCCATTCTTTTTCCTTTCATCATGTCCCGTACCGGAGGATCTACGCGCTCACATTCGCCTCCAATCCCCAATGAGTGTAAGTGCAAGGTCGGTATGTCAGGTAAACGCAACGGTAATATACCCCAGCGATAAGCTCAGAATCCCGCCCGTCTTCTTCGGAAGGCGGAAAACGCCCCTCGGATTCTGGGGAGGGCACCTTGGCATCAGCAGCTGTAGGAGGTAGAATAACCACGGAGACGGCTGGGCCGATCCCCCGGTTCCTGGTTATTAAGAAGGTAGATGGAGAAGATTTTACTCACGTTAGTCCTTTTTTAGTTGCCAAGAGTCTGTATAGCATCATTGGGAAAAATCCAAAAACAGTAAAAATTAATGGAGGTATTTAAGTAGAAACTGTTAGGGACGATCAATCTAGAAGACTTTTACAAATTACTAGATTTGCTGGATTTCCTGTAGTAGATGAGCCACATCCGTCGTTGAATATCACTAAAGATGTTGTTTACTGCAAAGATCTACTCAATTGTTCGGCTGAGGAAATTGTGTCAGAGTTGAGAGATCTATGGGTTATTCATGTTCAGAGAATTAAGACGAGAAGAAACAACGTATTAGAAGGCACAGCCAATCACATTCTCACTTTTAATCTTCCTAGGCTCCCGGACAAAATTCAAGTAGCTATGTATAACTTACAAGTGCATCCATATATCCCCACACCAGTAAGATGTTTTAGATGTCAACGCTTCGGACACGCTGCTGCAGCGTGCTCAAGTGAATAGTTATGTGTATGTGGCAAATCAATGCATGTAGGTAATCCTTGTGAACTCCCCATAACTTGTATAAACTGCGAAGGATCACACTCTGCCAAATCTAAGTTATGCCCCAAATATCAAACTGAACTGGCTATTCGGAGGAGTAAAACACTGGAAAGAATAAGCTACATGGAGGCTAAAAAGAAGGTAATTGCTCAAACTCCTAGGCCAAATGTTTCTTACTCTCAGGCGACACAGAACACGATTTTATAAGGAAAATATCTCCAGTTCTCGAAAACATTGTTAAAAAGTCTATATCTGAGATACTTAAGTATACTCCCCCAACACAGCAGATCACACTTCCAGGAACATTAAATCTACCACCACCACCTAAAAAATTTGTAGGAGTGGTCACTCGCTCAAGAACTGGATTGGACGCGTCAAATATATCAAAAAGGAAGGCCTCCTCACCAGCAGAAGGCACTGACTTCTCAGACGACAGTCAAGCTTCTTCTCAAACAGAAGGTCGTAGAAAAAGAGGCCGGCCAAGAAAAGCTGTAAAAGATCAGCGCAGTCTTAGCTCTGCACTTCCGATCCAGCAGAATATCGACGAGACTCAGACGACTACTTCACAGTCTCAGGACATAATTCGTCCTAGCTCTGTAGATCCCCCAGATCCCGGAGCTATATCATTGCAAGAATCCGTCGATCTAACTTAGCTAAGCAACCGTATTTGAAATGCGATTTAAATATCCTTTAAAAAAAACTTACATAGTATTTTTTTTTATTTTATTATTTATTTATATTTATTTTTTGTTCTTCTTTACTTTGCAATGTCTATGTCTTATCTGTACGTACATGAGCATTTTTGAACTCTCAAACATTTCCATAATGAAAAACATAATACACTGGAACATTAATGGTATTAAATCGCATTATCCTGAATTGAAAGCACTTTTGCTTGATAAGACACCATTCTGTATATGTATCCAAGAGACACATCTCAAGCCCAATGAAAACTTCAATTTACGTGGCTTCAGCTGCCCTAGAAAAGATGTCACGCCCAATCTCAAGGCTAGAGGAGGGGTCGCCATATATCTGAAGGATGACCTTCATTACACCGAGATCCTCCTCACAACACCTTTGCAAGTAGTAGCGTTACAATTGCTACATCCCGAAAAGGCCACTATATGCAACATTTACTCACCTGATGCAAACTGGAACAAACAGGAAATTGAAAACCTTATCAATCAGCTCCCATAACCATTCATCCTTCTGGGCGACTTCAATTCCCATAACCCACTGTGGGGCTCTGCTAGATTAGATGCACGCGGAGGAATTATAGAGGAAATCATTGATGAATATAATCTGGTGTTACTGAACACTGGGTCAGGTACGTACTTAAATCTAAGATCAGAGACAGTCAGTGCCATTGACTTATCTTTGTGTAGTTCTAGACTACCACATCTCCTTCAGTGGTGTGAGCTAGATAACCGACCACCTACCAGTTTCTATAGAAATTGCATCCAGAAGACCGTCTCCATATAGAATAGAGAAATGGTCTCTGAAAAAGGCAAATCAAAGACTCAATAGACTCGTCAGTAAAAGAAGCCACAGAACGTATACGTGCTGCCGCTGCACGTAGTATACCCAAAAACACTGGACAATTCAAAACAGCAGTACCTTGGTGGAATGAGGAGATCGCCGAAGCTATAAGGAAAAAGAAACAATCCTTTAACTTCTTCAAAAGACACCCCACCCAGGAGAACTTGATAAGATTTAAAAAAGATAGATCAAAAGCTCGGCAACTTCTAGTGTCTGGAAAGAAATCCTCCTGGGAAAACTATATTAAAACAATTACGGCATCGGAGGTGTGGAAGAAAATACGGAGAATATCTAGGAAAAAAACATTCAAACGTATGTCGAACTTTGATTGTGAATGGTCTAACAGTATCTGACCCTGAAGAAAAAGCTGAAGCACTCGCATCCCGATTTGAACTCTCAAGTTCATCGGCAAACTACAGTCAATTTCAAGCAGCTTAAAAATGAGGTGGAAACAACAGGCGTCCATTTCGAGGAAGGGTCTGACCTGACTTACAATTTGCCATTTTCCATAACAGAACTAGAGCAAACATTAAGTGAATGTAGTGACTCAGCACCAGGACAAGACCAAATTCACTATGAAATGCTTCGTAATCTACCCGAAATAAAAAAACAGACCCTTTTATACATCTGCAACCAAATATGGCGAGAAGCAGAATATCCCACAGAATGGCGTAATTCCATCATCATTCCTATACTAAAAGAGGGGAAAGACCTTCTAAATACTTCGAGTTACAGACCCATCTCCCTCACTTGCTGTCCAAGCAAGGTTCTTGAGCGGATGGTTAATAAGCTGCTGGTATGGCTACTCGAATGGAATAACGTGTTATCAAGCTACCAAATGGGCTATCGCAAAAACAAGTCGACTACCGATCAACTTGTAATGCTCGAGTCCGCTGTACAAAGTTGTTTTGCTCCCAGAAAACATATGGTAGCTATTTCTCTAGACTTCGAAAAAGCCTATGACACCACTTGGAGAATTGGTATACTGGAACAGCTTAAGCAATGGGGAATCTGTGGAAACTTACCACGGTTTATTTCAAGTTTTCTCGAAATGAGAACATTCCAGGTCAGGGTAGAAAATAAACTATCCGAACTCCACATTCTAGAAAATGGAATTCCTCAAGGGTCGACACTCAGTGTAACTCTGTTCATAATCGCAGTTAATAGCTTATTAGAAACTCTTGGTAATGATGTTGCTAAATCAATGTATGTAGATGATCTCGTGGTCTACCATGCCGCCAAAACTATGGAGGAGATAGAGAGTACCTTGCAACCAACTCTTGATGGTTGGTGCAAGCTGCTGAAAATAAGGGTTTCAAATTTTCACCCACAAAATCTTGTTGCGTTCACTTTTGCAGGCTCCGAACCCCTCACAACCAGCCCAATATCACCATTAAAGGAGCAAGTATTCATGTCAGAGAAAATCTGAAAATTCTTGGATTAACCTTTGATTCGAAACTCTACTGGAAAACCCATATCGATAATCTTGTTTTGGACTGCAAGAAATCTCTCAACATTATTAGATGCCTATCAAACATATCTTGGGGAGCAAATAAGGAAGTTCTAATTCGGATATACAAAGCCCTAGTAATGTCTAAGATGGACTATGGAATGATCATATATTCAGGAGCCAGAAAATCGCACCTGCTTCGCCTCGAAAGAGTTCATCGAGAAGGACTTAGGCTATGTATTGGAGCATTTAGAACAAGCCCATCTCTATCTCTAAATTATGAAGCTGGCGTCCGTCCTCTAGAATACCGCATACAACAGTTGACGATGAACTATGCTGTTAAGCTGTGGGCTCAGCCATCTCACCCAAACCACAGTATAGTCTTTAACGATGAAGTGATTTGGCCAGACCTACTATGACAAGGCCCACTGGCGTGCGAATACATGAGTATCTAGAAAATCTTGAAGTATAAATGCCTCCGCTATACCCAATACATAACTACGATACCCCTCCTTGGACTCTGAAGACACCCTTAACACGACTAGATTGTGCAAGATATTCTAAAGCTGTCACAAACCCTACAATTTATACGCAGGTATTGAGCACTATTAAAGATCAGGTTAGACCAAAATTGGTCATCTACACAGATGGTTCAAAAACCGAAACGGCAGTAGGAGCTGCCTTTATAATACCTGGCGAATCATTTCGATTATCGCTTGATTCAAGATGCTCAATATACACAGCGGAACTATTTGCCATTCAAAAGACAATGGAGTTCCTCATGAGTGCTGAGCCTGATACGTATATTATTTGTAGTGACTCGCAAAGTGATGTAAGTGCCATCAGAGATATTTTTAGTAGAGATCCGGTGGTTCAAAAAATTCTTGATCTTTATTCCCAACTGGAAAGGCAAGACAAAACGGTAGTATTAGTGTGGTGTCCAGGTCACATAGGAATTTCAGGCAATGAGAGTGCCGATGCAGCTGCTCGAGCTGCCTTGCACAGTGCACCCTCTGAAAGCTCCCCCATAAAATTTGAAGACCTTAAAGCATATTTTAAAAGAAAAATAAATTATGGGATCTACGATGGGAGCAAAGTGAAATGCGTTTGCGCCTTATACAACCCAATGTAGGCAAGTTTGTTTAGCCTAATACGTTGTCACGTAGGGAGCAGGTGTGCCTCTCACGAATTAGGATTGGTCATACTCGTCTAACGTCCTTACACTTACAATCAAACGAAGACCCACCAAATTATAACTCATGCCAAACGCAATTAACACATGTCCTAATTGAATGTCCACAGCTTCATGATGCCCGTAAACGCTGTGAATTACCACTCAACATCAGTGATTGTTTCATGAATACCGACGCATGTCAAAAATTACTTCAATTCACAAAACTATCAGAACTGTTCAAACAATTTTAATACTTTACATAACAAAAATAGTGACACGATAATCTACGTACATCTGCCTCCCTCCGAGTATCACAGAACTAAAGTATAATCTGACCCAGCAAAAGTAAAATTAATAAACGGTAGCGACACATCTGAAAAGAAGAAAGAAAAAATAGTATAAAATGTCTTCATACTGTATACCTCCACGTTTGTGCTTTTGTCTTACCAAAGTATTTTGTATGTTTTTTTCTATTTTTTATCAATGGATATCTACTGAACTCACACCGTAAATCACCCAGATCTACCCCTGTGGTGAAAGTAGCAAGTGACCATATGGGAAGGAGGAAAGCGGCTAATGACCTTCGCTGTCGATGCCGCTGTGGGCTTATAATAAAAAATAGTATTATTAATAATAATAATACTAATAATAATGGTAATAATTATAATAATAAGAATAATTTATTCATTCTGTGGATCACAAAGTGATTTAGGATAAGTGAATTGAATATTAGTATATAAACAGAATTGCCTACATACATAAATAACATTCAAAACATCAAATAAAAACAATAAGTTTATAAACATGAAAACGAATTAAAATAACAACAGATTAACAAATTAACAACAAAAAGTTGAACAGTAGATTGAGGCAATTGAAAAAGACCCACATTGGAAACTCTACTAGAGAGTCGAAAGCTTTATCAAGTAAAATTTACCTGATTCTTTTTTTAAGTAATATCAGCGGTAGTGATTTAAAGTCAATGGATAGTCTGTTGAAGAGTTTTATTGCCATGTATTTGGGGCTCTCCTCCGTTCTAGACAACCTATATGCCGGCACCTCCAATGCTTCCCTGTTTCTGGTATTATAAATTCCAGAATTTATAGAACTGTCCTGTTGTGTTTTGACGTAAATCAAGATATTTAATATGTATACTGAAGGCAGCTATTCAAAGCTGTGAATAGTTCCCTGCAACTAAAGCGCCTTCTCCCACCTTTGCAATAGTTCTAATAGCTCTTTTTTGTAATATAAAAAGCCCTTGTAACTCGGAGGATGCTCCCCACGCTTCTATTCCATACGTCAGAGCAGAATGGATATGTGCATGGTAAAACATTAAGGTGTAAGAGGTGTAACCTTTTGACCAAATTTCTCTATATGCGCATCCCATTTGCAGTTTTGCGATATGTGTATTCCTAAAAAATTTATACTTTCTGCTTGTTCCATAGATCTACCGCTTGATTTTACAAGGAGATTACGATTCATGTGCATATTACAGTAGTTAAATCTCAGGAACACTGTTTTTTTGTGGTTTAAGACAAGGCCGTTATTAATGAACCATTGCTCCGCACCAGCTAAGCCTCTGTTGGTATTTCTTAGCACTGACTCCAGGTTTTTGCCATTAACAAGTAAGGAGGTATCATCAGCATACATTACCGAGGATTTGGAAGGAAAGTCATTGACATATATTATGTATAGGAGGGGACCAAGTATAGAACCCTGTGGAACACCTGTATGATATAGGTGCTGATCAGACTGTACAGTCAGTACTTCAACGTGATGTTTTCTGTTACTTAGATAACTGTGAAACCAGTCAAATGGCTGACCTCTGATTTCATATCTATCCAATTTGTCCAAATGTATTACATGGTCAACTAAGTCAAAAGCTTTACTCAAGTCAAGAAATATCCCTACATACTTTTCGCCGTTGTCCATTTTCAAATACAGTTCTTCAAGAAAGTGAAGCACAGCGTTTTTGGTTGACAAACCTTTTCTGAATCCAAGCTGCCTGCTATTGAATAATTTGAAACTGCCCAGAAAATTGACAATTTGTAAGGACACATACTTCTCAAACCCTTTCGCAAAGGGACTAATTAGTGAAATTGGCCTAAACTTACCGATCTCGTGGTTATCACCCGACTTGCACAAGGGATAACTTTTAGCAAATTCAAGTTTATCTGGAAATGTCCCCTCCTCAATGGAACAATTAATTAAAAAAGCTAGAGGTTGGCTGAGGAAACTAGATGACATTTTTAAAATATTTGCATTAATTTTATCGGTGCTCGTAGGGTTGGACTTTTTTTTATTATTGATATTACGCACTACTTACAGCGGGTTGAATATATAGAGAGTGACTGTTTCTATCTATATTATTTCCATTACTTTCTGTACCAATACGTTCATATGAGCCTGGAATATTATTAAAATGCTGCACAAATTTTTCGGCAATCTCTTTTGGTTCGGTTATTATTTTATTTTCTATGTTTAAGTTGATTATTTCATGCTTAGGTGTGTTTGTGTTCTCATTCATCACATTCCAAGCAGTTTTTGTTTTATTTTTTGCATTTAGTATAATTTTGTTGTAATATAGTCGCTTAGCTGCCCTTAAAACTCTGGCATATACCTTTTTATTTTTTTGATAGAACTCTATAAGAAATACATCTCCCGTCTTATACAAATTATACAGATATAGAAGCTTGTCTCCTGATATTAGAATACCTTTTGAAATTCATCGTTTTCTAGCTCTTGTTTTTACAGTTTTGGTTATAACCGGGAATGCTATGTCAACGTAATACTGAAACGTTTCTAGGAATAAATCAAACTTCTCATTAATATCCTCGGCGGAATGATAAATATGGTCCCAGGTTTCTTGACCTAGGAGAGCTAAAAATTGTTGATGTTGGATTTATTATACAGGTCTTGGTACTGGTAGGAAATCTGAGGTGGCTGTTCATCTTTTTGATAGATTAGAGTTAATAATTGAGCAAAATCATCACTAACATTATTGTGTATTACAGCAGTATCACACTTTACATCCAGCCCTACACAGGTTGTTTAATAACCGGCTTCAAACATCCAACAGACAATTTAAATCTAAAGAGTTTTTGTTAAAATTAGTGCTAAAATCACCACAAATAACAATACCACATGTTTTTGAATTCAAGGTTTTAAATATTTAAGAGTTCTTCAAGTTTTTCTGAAAAAATTTTATAATCGGCATCAGGACTTCTATACAGAGAAACAATAACCGAATTGACGTTTTCGGTTATAACTCGAGTTCCACTACATTCGAAATGCTTATCATTCAAATAGTCTAGATTATTGTATTCTAATCCTGCTTTGAGGTACATACATGTTCCGCCATAATAAGAAAGCTTTCTCCAGTATGAATGTGCTAAAATGTACTCGTGTAAAGACATAATCTGGTCAGATTTTACACACAAAATATATCACTGTTAGTCTCATTTAGAAATACTTCAAGTTTAAGTAGTTTGTTACAAAGGCATTGCACATTTTGATAAATGATTTTTAAACTATTTGAGTTATTTCTATTAGAAATACAACCATTTGCGTTGAATTGTTCACTACACTGATTATTTGGCGCTCTATGAAAGAAGAAGCTTGCACTTTGATGACGGAGTTCTATCAATTACTCTCCATAGAGCGATGCTCACAACGATCCCAGTGAGCAAACGTGGAATGACTGTTTGCACCCTAAAAACTACCTAGTCTGCAAGATTTCTAGGGGAGGATGATAAATTTGGGCCTACTCAATTCGAAGTATGCTCGGTTAGCTGGCATCCCCCCTCCACGTTCGCCTTGTAGACCAAATCTTAGTTCGCCCCCGTGAAGGAGGGAGTCGTACCCACATGCTAGGAGGGAATACAAACGAAAGCAATAGATAATCATTTTTGTAATGTATTCTGCACTGTGTTGGCAGACATTTGGCAGGCGGTTGTTCATTATAGACAATATTCTTTGCCCACTGCGTTTTAGCTCGCTTCGTGCGAGATTGGGGGTCGTACCCACATAGTACATGGTGGGAGGGAAAAACAAGCAAAAACAAGGAATAAACAATTTTTGCGGTATAATGCGCTGGGCTGGCATCAAGTTGTCGGCCAGTTGCTCGCTAAATACCTATAATAGTTTGCCCAAAAACTATAGATAATCAATTTTCCTTGCACACTTCGCTGAGTTGGCAGAAAGTTGGAGGCCGATTGTTTATTAAAAACGGAATCATACCCATATAATAGGAGAGAAGAGACAAGCAAAAACAACATAACTCACTTTGGTTGCATATTTTGCCCACAGCGATTTATTTCGCCTTCGCGTGGTGGGCAATAGTACCCACATCCAAATCATGATATTTTAAAGATAATTTTTTTTTAAATTGAATGCTATTAATGAACTTCAGTAGCGGCCGCTGTGAAATTTCCTGACCTTTTAGAAATTTGTACAAGAAACCCCTATTCAAATCTTCATCCATGGTAAACGTTTGGAGGAAGACGGTCTTACTCGTATGTCGGAAACAATTTTCTGCCATAATTGAGATTTGTAAATCGCATATATGGTACATATAGCGCCTAGAACGTCCATCATGAATGAAGCGCATCCGAAAAGAATTTTTTTTCAATGCTGTGTCTATATCCAGACTCAAATTTAGTAAGTTTGTCAGCAAAAGTGCCATCAATTGTGGCATTTCCATACCATAATATCAACGCGCTAACATCGGCAGCAATCGGCGTGGCTGTTCCAAAAATGCCAGAGAGAACCCGCGCAAAGTGAACACCTAATGAAATCTGCTATTATTACAGAAACGTGATTATTTATTCTTCAAATACAAGCGGCCGCGACCCCAGCGCAATATGCTAGAAAAATCGATTATCTTACGTTTTGCATGTTCTTTCGTTCTAACGTGTGGGTACGATCCTCAATAGTGGGAACACTCTTTTTAACAGCTTCTTTTGGGTGTTGTGTCAACGGAAGTCTTATAAACACTGTGCTTAATAGACAACCGGACGCCAATATTCTGCCAATGTAGCTCAGTATGCAAGAATACTTGATCAATTATTGTGACGCCTTCGTAACTCGGCGCTTTGGCAACCGGTCACTCGACCGCGCATGCAATGCTATGGAACTCGTCAATTTTGAAATAAGTTCGAACGCGTCCACACCAGAGGGACAGTCAGTGGCAAGTGATCGATGAGTCAACATACTATAGTCCAGACGATATGGTTTGTCATAAATTAGTTGCAACAGTTGTAGTGTAAGAATAATAAATTAGACTTAGAAGAGTGGAAACAGTGTTTTCGATACACTATTTCCCCTCCTCACGAGGGAGGATTAAAACGGGGTGAGCATCGTGAATAGAGGACATGTCAGTTTCGACATGGTCACGCAAATATTTATCATCTTTCTCCCAAAAAAATGCGGCGAGTTCTCTTTCGGTGGGATTGTAACATAATGATCCACCTCTCTATCGCAGTTGATCCGCTGTTATGTGACATGTTGAATACGATCCTATTTGAACTGTGCAGTTGTTCATGTTTATATTTAGGCGTACACATAAAGCTGTAGGCAATTTCGTGAAGCTAAGCTTCTCATCCAGTATATATCACAGATAGAAGAATTCAAGGTTACACTTACCAAGCCAGTGGTTTCTTGACCATCCAGATAGAAAGCTGCAGCTAATGCAAGGATTTCCTTTTCAGTATACTTTTCTCTTAATGATGCTATAGTCGTCAAAAAGTCTTTGATATCAACATTATTTTTATCCCTGTACTCAAGGGATGCTCGAATGACATCAAATAACTGTGACTCCGTGTGTTTATTTGTAAAACTAAAAGAAAATTGCTGTCAAGCGTACTTGTATGCACCCTTCATACAACGTGTTCCAGAATAAGACGGCATTCTCTCGGATGCTTATAGAGCACATAGAAATAATATCACAAGTTCCTACAACAATGCCCCTAGGCTACCTAAAACACGCAACTGAAAATCGGCTTTTATTATTCAGGGCAAAATGAACCTTCTTAATAAAGCGTTACTTGAAATTAATTCGTTTTAAAAACATTTTATACTAATTAGTAATTAGGTTAGCATGTCAACGTGTCTTGAACGTCTTCCATAATTGCTCTTTGGTATTTTGAGTTTTAAGAGTATAATATAATTACGAATGTTGTCTATCAAGTAGGTAATATTGCTTTTTGGCTGATTAATAGACATATCTATATGAATATTCTCAAAGGAAACACCCAGGCGCGCCTAAATATGGACATAGTTAAATTCACTTCCACCATATAATGTGGCCCTTAAAAACTCGCTTAACAGAGCCCCTTGAAGTGTATGCTGGAGTTTAATTTAGTTGGAGCTTTGGCCTTGGATAGTTTTCCAAAGTTCTCTTTCAAAAATTATTTCAGCATTATTCCATTTTGAGCACCACTGACATTATTTTTCTGTGTTCTGTATTCATTAAACATATTGACATCTTATCAAGGAGGAGTCTGTATAATGCTAACATTGCATACTCACCGCACTCCTATAAATTTTGAAATTTTTGGAAAGATTATAGACAAAAAGAATTTGAAGGTCGCCAAATACTCTGAATAGTACAGCTTCTGGCCCATTTCAAAGAAAGGTGAATCGGGATTCTCGAATACACGAGCTTCGACAGTGTATGCACAAGAGAATACTGTTTCTAAGGTATATAAGCAGCAAAGCTCCTTGGCTTCCAGCATCTTGGAGCCACGTTCTGTTAATTTTCCCAAATAACATGACAAGTTCTGCGCCCCGTCCTTTATGTTGCTAAACATGGTTTTCACCTGTACAAATAACAAAACATAAATATAGGGTTATGAAAAGAATCTTTTGTCTCATGATAGATCTAGCTCAATCAAGTTTAGTCTTATTATGTTTTATTGCCACATGTATCTGTGAAGTTCCATCCAAAACCTTCACTTAGAGATAATAATTCATATAACATTTACATAGACTCTAGTGAGAAACCTGATACTTTCATGTACTATCTCAAATCGTGAAAAATATATGGGAATGTTCAAAAACTGATTACATGTGACCTCAGGGGCAGTTGAAGGTTTCCTTAGAATTAAAAAAAAATCACTCCGCTTCAAAACGTGCTGCGAAATTACAAAGATTTTCACACATTTTACACTATATATACTACAGCCCGATTTTGTTGCTGCTTGGCGTCGGGCTAGAAACATGTTGAATAACGTTTTTGGAATTAGGAATGTTTCAGAATGAATAGTATCAGAAGTAGCAAAATACAATACCTTTCCGGTTGTGAAGGAACCGGTTATGTAAGATCTCTTCTCCTTCCACTCTTCTCCTTTCAATGTGAAAGGGTTTCCCCCAAAAGCAGCATCCGATTCTAAGCCGATGTAGAACTCATTATCGTGGAAGCTGCCAAATTCCTTGACAATTATTGTTTTTGCGATATCTAAATCTTTTACTATCAGGCATGGTCTTAGCAGCCTGTAGAAACCAACGACGTGACCGTCGTACTTTCTGAAGGCAAAGCAGATCATAAAACATTAACATTTCTTTCGATCAATGTGCATGAAAAAAATATGTACTCGTATTTAGAATCATCTGTAGCATCTAAACTGAAAGCAATGAGAGTATGCGAAAAGTGATGTCTACAATTTCTTGGAAACCTATATGTATATGGTTTCAAGTGCATTGATAACGAAACGGCAACTCAACAAGTTGCATACACGGAAAACTGAAATATCTAGGAATTTGTAGTTTCTTGTTCGTTTTCTACGGCTTTATCACCACTACACCTCTGTACGTTTCTCTACTATATCTTATGAATTTATGACTTTACGCGCGTTTCGGCTTGCCAATTTAGTTTACAACTTCAAAGTATGCCTTCTTCATTCCTCAAGATTCTGCCCGATCGCACCATTCCTTGTTCTAGTTATTGGACGGTTCAGGGGGTATGGCCTTTACCTGTACAACGAAGTAACGATTTCTCCCAAAGATTTCTGCCTAAGTATAGTAGGCATCACATTTCCTGCTATGAATATGGGATCTGGTCCAGGTACGCCTCTCAGTTTCCAGTATGAATATTTGATATGAAACCAGTAAAAACATATTACTACCGCTATTGGCACCAGAATAAACCACATCTCGTTTACAACTGATTTCCATCGTTTCGTGCAAGATAGAACAAAATTGCACTTGTTATTATCATCATCATTCGACTTACTGACAACATTGTATTTTGTTATCAGTTCAAATAAGAAACATTAGTCACGTAATCGTTGACATTTGCATTCAATTCGAGTAAACCCATTTTCCGCATTTTATCTTTCAAACTTCTGAAGCGGAGCAGCAAAACTGCGGTTTTGATTTACTTTACACATAACTCAAAAGAGCAAGCGTGTAATCATCAGATATATATAGTAGACTGAAAAAGTTCTTTATCTCTATGAACCTACAATAACTTTGCTATAAGTCGAATATAAGTGAAGCTATATTTGAGCTTGCTATGACATGCAACAGCGTTTAGCTATAATTTTTGCATATTTTTAATAATCGAGGAATCCTTTTATATATCGTTGACGATAGTTCGCTAGCGTTGCATTATTTGTCTAATAATATAAGTTCAAAAATCCGGTGGTTTACGAAAAAAATGTAATGTTTGGTTTATTCAATGTAAGTTATTCACAGGCTTGAACAAAACTTGTGCACATTACGTGTGTAGTTGACCTTTTTTAACAACAGAGAATGAGAAATCGAGCTTTTTGGGGTTCAACTGAAAGTGTTTGCATTACCAAAAAACTCTTCGGATATGATTCTTAGGTACTTAAGAGACTCACAAAGGATCCGATCGAGTGCAAAAAGTTATAGCCAAAAACCTTTTGCAGTTGCTGGCAATACTAGTAGTGTGAAATCCATCAGATCGATAGATTTCATGCTTCTATACAGAGCAGAAGACATTCCTATAAAAATATGGGTCCAAAGATGTTCCACTACCGAGATACAGAGTTAAACTTTATTTACGAAATTGAAAAAAAAATAAATTAAAAATATATTAAATATATAAAAAAATATTAATATATTGAAAACAAATATATATCTACGGATCGGGTAATGATTTTAAGTTAAGGTGTAAGACATTCAGTGAACACACCATAAGCAATACACACAGTTTTCCAGCCGAAACTAAACTAGGGACGTAGAAACTAGGACTCTGGACTCCTAATAGGTGATATTGTCTACGCCACTGGCCTTTTTGGAGAAAATGAGTGCTTTTTATAAAATGCCATTTGAGCTAAATTCTGTCTCTCAAGGAATTTTTGCCAGATCACTTGTTTTGGATATATTTAGGTTTGACTATTTGAGGTAAAATAATAAAATATTCCTATGTAAAGGTTTCGCCTCCCCTATTTTAAAAACACAGTGAAGCTTAATATTAGAAACACTTATGGCATGTGGAGCAAGCTGTGGCACGTCATCACAACATAATTTTTTTATACACCGAAGTAGTCGCGCAGGCAGCTGCCTAAATGCCAGGACCCCGCGGCTGAAATGAGGATCCCAAAGAAACTCTGTTAATTCGTCTTTGGAACTGCCTAAGGTTAGTACAACTGGTAAAAGCCTCGAAGGCACATCGCGCGGCGGCATCATGGAGGAGACGTCTGAGGAGCAAAGCTTTTGGGTGTAGCGGTAGCAGAGGGCTAGATTGCCGATGGCCTGCCGGTGCGAAAGGGTCTTGAGACTGTCTGTTAGAAAAGCGATCAGGCGGACAGCCCTCCTGTGGATAGCATCGATCATAAACAATGTGATCGAGGCGGCGGCACCCCAAACGTGTGAGCAATACGCGAGGCCAGATCTTATCTGAGCCTTGTATATAGAGTGAGGAGGTACTTCTTAGCCCTAAACAAATAGCCTAGCCTTTTCCCAGCAGCTGCCGCCATTGGAGGGATGTGTTCATGCCAGATCAAGTCCTTGGCGATTTGGACTCCAATCAGCCGAAATAAATGGATGTATAGCAAAACACGGGCATACATCGAAACTGGATGAATGCTAGGACGCTTTTTGTTCACCAAGTACAGTACTGTCTTTTGGTTCGTGTCTTATCCCCAATCAGTAGGGTAAGAGGTTACCATCCACTAAGCTTTTCCTGTGCACTCCACTGGTTTGCCGGCATACTTATCTTTGTTTATTGAGAAAGAAACTCAAAACAAAGGAAATGTTTATTTAAAAAGTGAATAAATAAAGCTAATCAGAGTCAAACACAACAGCAATAATCATTACACATAATTCACGCGACTATTTCTTAATTTATGAGAACACAACGTTCAAAAAATAATGCTGAATACATGATATAACATCCAACCTAACGGAGATGAAGGTGACCACCTCTGGATTCAACACAAGTCCCCGCTGTACGCCACAAAGAGCCTTTGGAAAATACCTGGCATAGTAGAAACAGTGTTGAAAGTCATCTTCATAAAATGCTAAAGGCGAAACCGCTCGTGTTGGCGAAACGTCAAGCAAAAATGTTTACGACCTCAAAAACCAACCAAATTACGTCGTCTACATACTTCGTCCTTATACAGGGTGGCGCATCGAAAACGAAACAGATGCATTTAATGGCAGCTCAGTTTTTTTTGGAAGAACGCTCAGACCCGTCGATTTTGTTTTCGAGTGGGACACAAGTTTGGCAAAAAATCACGTTAACACGTGCAGCTCCCTGGGCGGGGGTGACACAACCCTAAAATCTTTAATGGAATGGGGGTCGAGTGATACCTTATATAAGGTCTTTCAATTCCCTTTATAATGATGTAAAATACATTAGCTTCAGTTCAGTAGTTTTGAGGATTTATTGATTTAAAGCTTAAAGTAGACTTTAATAGGGACATCAGATTGGTTTGTACTACTTTCAGAAGAAATTTGACTAAAAGAATTTACTTATAAGTAAATGCTTTTCTTCACTACGCCCATGTTTTGTTTATCATTTTGTTGTTGAAAATAGCTACTGGAGCGTTTTTTTGTGGCACAAAAGTTATTTCTTAAAGAAAGATAAGGAAATATCTCGTACTTATTTTAAATAGGAATTTAGTACATAGTTTGCGATTGATTTGACCAAACTTTCTTGCTAAAATAACTTGTAACGCTTTATCACATATATTAACCAAGGTATATTCCACAGCAGAAAGAGTTGAAATTATCGAAATATTATTCGGAAATAATCAGTGCGCTAATAGAACAGCAGAAATATTTAATGAGCGAGACGAGAACAGTAACGTGTATCGAAAATATGTTCTAGAACTTGTAGCTAAATTTCGGGAAACTGGGTCAGTAGCCAATAAAAAAAGCAACATTGAAAATCCCACGAGGAATGAAGCAATACAAGTGGGGTTTTAGGGCATGTTTATGTAGATCCTACGTTACGTACCCGCAAATTGGAGACTGTGTGTGGTGTTAGTCGACGTACTGTCCAACGGATTCTAAAGACCCATAGTTTTCATCCGTATAAAATTCACCTGGTACAAGAACCTAATGAAGACGATTTTGATCGGCGATTACGATTTTGTGAAGATATGAGTGAATTATAAACGATAAACGTTTTCTATTCAACACTTGCTTTTCCGACGAATGTTCCTTTTTCTTAAATGGCGTAGTAAATCGTCATAACTGCGGAATATTGGTCCGATTCTAATCCCAGAATTTATCATCAGGTTCATATACAGCAGCCACAAAAATTAAATGTTTGGGCTGGTATTTTTGGCGATCATTTAGTTGGTCCTTTCTTCTTACCTGGAAATTTGACCGGTGAAATGTATTTGGAATTACTGGAAGACGCCATAGATCCTGCATTAACAGCCATAATTGAAAATCAGAATGATCGGCGGTACATTGCGAATAGGTTGATGTTCCAACAGGATGGTGCCCCACCACATTAAGCATTACGTGTTCGACAGGATTTAGATCAGACGTTTCCAGATCGATGGATTGGTAGAGGAGGTGCCAGTGAATGGCCCCCAAGATCGCCAGATTTATCACCTTTGGATTTCTTTATGTGGGGTTATTTGAAAAGCAAAATCTATGATACTCAGCCAACATCGTTAATGAATGAATGAGTGCCTTCAAATTACTCCTCAAATATTACAAAATGTGCGGCAACGCTTTGAGCAAAATCTTTGTTATTGCATGGAGAGTCATGCTGGCCATTTTCAACATTTACTTGCCTAACGGGTCAGTTCATTCTTCATTTTTAAATTACTTTGCTGCCAAATGTACTGATCTCACTAATGATGATGTATTAGTTTTATTTAAGCTTTAAATCAATAAATCTTCAAAACTACTGAACTGAAGTACATTAATTTATATCATTATAAAGGGAATTGAAAGACCTTTGAAAGACGGTATCACTCGACCCCCCTTTCCATTTAAGATTTTGGGGGTGGTGTCACCCCCGCTTAGGGGGCTGCACTTGCTTACGTGATTGTTTGCCAAACTTGTGTCCTCTTCGAAAACAAAATCGACGGGTCTGGGCGTTTTTCAAGAAAGAAAAACTGAGGTGCCAGTAAATGCGTCTGTTTCGTTTTCGATGCGCCACCCTGTATTTTGTGTCCGAGGTTGCTAACGATTTGCGATATCGTTGTTGAGGTCACTTAATCCGAAATGCTAAATGGTTTTGAGAAAAAAACGGTCCATAATTTCAGAAGTAAAATAATGAGATCCTTACCCAAATTGATTGGTTCCAAAATTACTAGCTGTGATTTTAGACAAAAAAAAAGGATCTGACATGGATAATACCAGAAGAATTATAGCATGCAAGCCAATGGCGTGAATAGACAAGGTTCTACGCTGCTGATTGCGGAGTCGCGCATATTTTTCGATCATTGTTGTGATGAGGTGCCATAGATTGCTCCATAAGTGTCTCGAATATTGAGTTCCACGGTGTTTTTAAAATAGGGGAGGATAAACCTTTTCATAGGAATATTTTGGGATTTTACCTTAAATATTCACATCTAAATATCTCCAAAACGAGTGATCTGACAAAAATTCCTTAACAGACAAAATGAATGTAAAATTTGATGGTATTTTATGAAATGTACTCCTTTGCTCCAGAAAAGGCTGGTGGCGTAGAAAATATTTCCTATTAGGTGTCCCTGAACCCCAGTTTCTACGTCCCTGGTTTAGCTTGGGACGGAAAACTTTGTGTGCTTATTGCTGAT